AAGTCATCCCAATTTACTGTGTTGAGTTGGCATTGTACAGAAATGGACAGCCATATTGGTCTAGAAATGTTAATTTTTTTATTTTTATTTTTTTTTCCATGTATACAGGGGTAACACATCGTACTAAATATGTAAGGTCATATCTATGTGGGTTTGGTTACAGAAACTAATAAAGTATTCTCTAAATAATGAAAAAAAGAGTAAGATAAGACTATAAGAGCAAGAAGCAATTTAAATATGTTCAGGGACCATTTTCATCTCCAGAATTAAGGATTATTTTCATGTTACATCATTGCCTTTTCTCTTTTACTTTCCTTTTTAGTTTTACTTTAGGATTCCCTGTTTTTAATGTTCATACAGAGATTTCTTTAACTGAAATACTGAATAGTTTCTTTGGTGTGAAAAACTATAATAGTACACAGGATCCTAATGAGATAATTAATAATGTGAAAATAGGAAGTAAAGGGCTAAAGGTGTAGGGAAAGTGGGAAGGGTGGGGGAAAGGTACTAAGGGAGAGGAAAAAAATATGAGAAACTGAAAAAATGGAAATAAAGTATTTGTAAATGGGGAGAGGAGGAGGGGGTAAAGGGAGGGTAGGAACAAGGGGAAAAAATGAGAATCAAGACCTATTATGTAAAGGTACAGAATCCCAATGATGAATGTAACTGTGTTGTATACCTAGATTGTACCAATAAACTCAAGAAAAAAAAAAAAAAAGGCTGAGTATTTGTATAAAATTGCTACCATAATAGAATTTCACCTGCAATGGCATATCATCAGTTGTGAACTAGTTAAGAGTCATTACGGCTGGGTATGATTGCCCACACCTGTAATCCCAGCACTTGGGAGGCTAAGAGGATCTCTGTGAGTTCAAGGCCAGATTGGGCTACATAGTAAGTTTAAGGCCAGCCTGAACTACAAAGTGAGATCCTAACTCAAAAAACAAATAAGCCAAAAAAAGGGGTAGTTATTATGATATAAAAAACGATATATAAGTAAAGTATGAAATAAAAGACAGAAGGAAAAAGAGAGAGAAGAAAAGTTATTGTAACCCAGAGCAGACAATGTATCTAAAAATGTACTTTGACTAAGTCCAATTGTCTTACTGTTTTATGTTTTTTGGCCTATTAGTCTGGTTTTTAAATCTGTATATATGATAAAGTCTTATAAGAGAAATAAGTGAATGTGATTCTGGCAAAATAAAAGGGGGGCTGAGGGAAGGGGAAAAATATTAACTCTATTATGTACATGTACCAGTTCCCTAGAATGAATGCAATAATTACATACTGCAAACATGCACTATCAAAAGTAAAAACAAAACAAAAAGTCATGAATTCCAAGAAGTGAACTAAAATGAGACAGATTTCATAACTCTCCAGCAGAGAATGTTTGTAGGGGTGCTAGTGTGACTTTGGGACCAGGGCCTTTGTACCCTGAGTTCCAGATAGTGCTGGCTTCTCAGGACCCTTGGAAGTGACCACAGGATGCTTCTCATAATCAAATTTATAAAAGAGCCCATCAACTTTTACCTCTTCTCTTTTTTTCTTTTTGGTACCGGGGATCGAACTCGGGACCATGTGCTTGCGAAGCAGGTGGCAGCACCACTGAGCTAAAGCCCCAGCCCCAACTTTTATCTCTTCTCAAGACCAGTGTGACCATCTTATCTTAGGCTTTCAATTTTTTTCCCCCTACTATCAAGTTCAACTTTTACCTCTTAGACTTTACACACTGTCTATTCTGTTGCAGAAAGCTTTTTTATTCATCAGTTCACTGAGAAACTGTCTCAACCTATCTAGTTTACCTGTCTACGTCTGGTTTGGGGCGTGGTCAGCTTGTATAACCCATCCCACATCAGAAGCATGTATACAATGTTCCTCTGTATCCTTCTGTAGGACATCCCAGTGCCTGTGCTCCTCTGCCCAACGTTATTCCAAACAGTACTTCTTACTTTCAGAATCAAGACTTTGTTTTTGTGGTCCTAGGAATGGAACCCAGGGCTTCAAGCATGCTAGGCAAGTACTCTACCATGACAATTAAAGTTCAGTAACAGACTACAAAGTATACATTCTATGTGAGATAAAAGTACAAAAATGCATTGCAGTGAATGACTCCAGAGATCACTTGTGGGAACAAGTTACCACAGCAGCTATATTAGGACTTGTTTTCATGTTTTAAAACACACACCTCCATTTAATAAAAAAGCAAGCCATATGAGGTATGAACAACTATAACTGTCATTTTACAGATGAGAAAACTGAAGCACAAGGAGGCTAAGTATCTTAGAGACACAGAGTTAATTTGGGAAGGAACCAGGATTCAGACCCCAAAGCTCAAATGGCCAAGCCCAACTCTTGTTCCATATCCTAGGTAGACAACTTCACAAAGATGGACTGAGAATGCACATGAGTTCTTTCAAAATTCACAAATGTCCTCAGTCCTCCAGACGTTATGGTTTTTAAAAGAGGCTTTAGGTCAGTATTGGTGAACCTATGGCATCCATGTTGCAACAGGCTGTATCACTGAAGGCTCTAAAATGTTTGCCATTATTGCTTTAGGTTAATCTTAAAAGACAATGCTTAGGGCTGGGGATTTAGTTCAGTGGTTCCACTGCCTGCCTCAAAAGCTCGAGATCCTGAGTTCAATCCCCAGTAACAAACAAACAAACAAACAAACAAACAAAAAGGACAATGTTTATACACAGCTAGATACTACATTTAAAAACAGATAAAACTTAAACATCATTAACGCTGAAAACAGTGAGATGGAGAAATAACAAAAAGCTTACTTTTTTTGAAGTTTACGATTTTTTTCAGCCTGTCCTCCCAATTTGCTAAGTCCCAACGCATCTTGAGATGAGTTTTCTGTCTCTGAAACACCAACTACAAGGAAGCACAAGAGCACCCAAACAGAGTAAATTAACATGGCAAAGTTACGTGTTTTCACAAACAGGTGGAAAACTCTTTACAGGTACAGAGCTAAATAATTTCTGAAGGCTAAGCTTCTAAACAAATAACAAAAACGTTTGAGAGAGTAAACTTCCATCTATGAAGGGCTAAACTATCAGAGCAAATGAATGTTCACAGTTGCTCTCTGGTTCACACCTGGGCAGGCTATGCGAATGATGGTCCTTGGAGAATGTTCAGCTGTGACTACATGTGGGAACTGGTCACATACGCAGGTGCACAGCAGAAAGATTGTGCTCTCCCCCACTCCCAACAGTTAGGATGGCTGCTGCAAATCTACCTACCTTGTCCTGGTGATTCTTTGCCAGTTTGTCCAGGCCGGCCCTTTTCCTTCTTGCCAAACAAACGGCCAATAGAGGACTTAATGCCCTTCTTCTTTGGGGCTTTGTGAAGCGAGTCCTGGCTGCTGTTACTGCTGCTGGGATTGCTCACAGGACCATCCTGGGAGCCTGTTGAGCTTTAAGGAAAGAAAATGGACCTTTACCACAGCCCTCATCACAGCTCCACAGTCCATTCACTTGCACTAGAACAGTCTTCATCTTTTATATTTGTGCCTCAAACTTCCTAAAGAACATTTCAAGTCTCACATGCAGTACATTATGCACAGTAACTCAGGCTTCCAGTAATGCTCCCACAGACTTGTTCCTGGGAAGCCAAGATTTTGAGGTATGCTCCACGCTCAGAGGAGGCCTGGACTCCAGCCCACCTGATTTGGGTGCTCCAAGGAGCAATTGCTCTGCCAGTAAGGGCTGCACTCAGGCAGCAACAAAGAGAACATGGTCTTGGGAGCCAGAGGATCTGGAGTTCTCATGCTCTCAGCAGCTCCTGAAGGCTCTCAGGGTCCTGCTCTCCTCAGACGAAAAGCAAAAGTAGCACTACCTGTAGGGCCACTGTGGGGACTAATGCCTACCCTCTGTCATCCTGCCTGATACAGAACAGAAACTCATAAGTGGAAGTGTGAAAAATGATAGTCTATTTATACCAAACAGCTTACTGGATTCCTGACAGGATGTGCTTACTAAAGGGATAAGGATAATGTCAAATTCTCAACAGCTTATAAGAGCCAGAGTACAGGAGAACACCTGAGAGGCACTGACCGTCCACAGAGTAGCACATCCCGGAACCTACCACATCTGTGTGGCAAACTTTCCACCAAGGAAAGAAAGGAAGTTGTCAAAGCAGTCAATGTGTGGAATCTGAAGAAATGGAGTTTTTCTATAAAGTGCTAATCACAAATAATTCCTTCCTTTTCAAACTTTGCCCAAACAGATTGCCTCTTTAGCTGGATGTCACTGTAGTTTCAGACCAGTGGCAGGCATTCTAGGTCTGACATTTAAATAATCACAACTGAATTACCTTATCCAGTAACTCTTTAAAAAAACACTTTGGGCTTTCTCCCCCCTTAAGAAAAGATTAACAAATCTTAAAATCTAAGACAAAAGCAGGTTTCTCAGGGGTCTGTTGGCCTATGAGCCTTGCTCCTTACTTTCTCATGTCCCTGATGTCCTCATGGCTGACAGTATGCAATGCCCCTTTGTGCAGCCTGTCTAATCGAAGGGACCTTGGAGAGGAGGGAGGGGAAGTTTCACATTTTATCGTTGTCTTGTCATCTCGTACCTCTTCTCTGGAAGCTGGCAACTGGGGGTTAAAATAAGAGCAAAATTAGTTAATAGTGAGTTATAAAAAACAAATCACATAGGCTTTAAAATATATTAACAAACTTACTTGAAAATCTATTAGTTACACTTTCTACCTGTACAAAAAGGTCTCATTTTAGTCCAATGCCACCCTGAAGGAGTGTCTTGTCTATGAGAATGGGACCATGTAGCAGACAGCACAGGCCAGTTCGACCTGTAGCCTTCCTCCATGTGAAGACTGGACAAACACAGGGACACCACCATGATCCCCACTCTCAGCCCAAGGCTCTGTTCTCCCTAGAATCCTAGGAAAATCCAAGGATAGTCAATGTCCTGAAAAAAGCTTGTACACTGCATCCTTATCAATTTAACAATGTGGCTCTCATTACTGAAGAGTCCATGACAGGTATGTTCATCTCCTGATGTCATTCAGAAGGAACACTAGGGAGGGCTGAAACCTCAGGCAATTTGTCAATACCTTTATGTCTCAGAGGAAACAAGACAAAGTACAACATGGATCAAGACCCAAACAAACATGCACATGGCTTCTATTTCTCACTGTTTGGACCAGATGCTATAAGTGGAAGTGCTCACATGCAATTTCAAATCTTACTTCCACGAGGCTTGATAAAATATCCTGGATATATCTTTAAAATAGGATCTCTTAGACTGAGTTTTTCTTTTTTAGAGGGCCATGAACATGCCTATGTGTTGAGGGAGGCAGGGTTGTAACAACAGTGAACAGATTAACCCCTTTCAGGGTCTGGGTAGGTCCTATTTAGAAGGTTGTTATTTTCTGATTTTGAAGTAGGACTAGATTTCATGAAACATTTACAGTGGACATATGTATGAACAACAAGACTTAAATGGCTTCTTTTCAGTGCAACCATATGATGGATACTGATTTCATTACAGCCTTGCAGTAGCAGCTCAGTGAGGACCAACTAGATTAGTGTAACTCAAGAGCTGAGCACATTTAGGACATAATCTTAACTGATAGCTGCATAAATTCTGCATCCTCTTCTCATTTCTAATTGTAATAAGGACACCAAAAAAAAAGATTGCCATGGGAAGATGTATAGTTCAGTGGTTTACTCTGGGTTTAATCTCCAGCAATCCCATCTCTAAAAAAGGCCATCACATTACAAATTACCAACATGAATTGTATAACAGTTTAAAATTTGGGGATATGGGCCAGGGGCTCAGTGGTGCTGCTTGTGCCTGCCAGGCAAGCACAAGGACCCAAGTTCAATCCCCATTACCAAAAATAAACAAATAAATAAAATAAAATTTCAGGATAAAACAATTATTTGTTAAAATAGAAAAGAAAAAAGAGCAGGATAAGGCACAACATGTGTGCTCTGGGCATAAATAAGAGATCCTTGCACGCCCCCACCACACACCCACCAACACCCTCTGCCGAGAGCCTTCCGGGCTCACCTAGCCAGGCCTGAATTCTGCTTCTGTTCTCATGCAGGAAAGCACAGGGCTGGGACCCACTGCCTTGTCTCAGACCTGTCTGTAAGTGCCAAGAAAGCAGTAAAGTCACCTCAGTCTGCCCAATAATACTGAAGCAAAGAAGGAAACAATCACATACAATTACTTGTCTGGTCCATGTTTGCTGTCTACACAGACTCTCCCCTAGGCTAATCTTCATGGCCATCCCAGGACAAATCTCCTCAAAGTCAGCAGGCTGTATGCTGAAAGAGGTGACCAGTAAACAAGAAGACCAAGATATCGTGTCTGAGTGTAAGTCAACAAAACTGCTTCCTTCACTGAGAAACTCTTACTCCCAAAACCAAAATACCCAAACCATACTCAAGTCTGCTGAACTGGGGTGAGCTCTGTGGCTGGGTGCTAGTGAAAGCACTTCATCTCACTTTGGGCACACAAAGATCTGTGGCCATTCTGAGCACCACTATTCTATCACTACCTCACTTAAATGAAAGAAAGCCATGGCACCCTCAGGACAAGGAACAGACCCCAGGTCACAAACTAATCAGTAAGAGAATGAGGATCTGCATCTGGTGTCTTCTAAGTCACCACATTGCTCAGCCTAATACAGCATTTCACATACAGCTGCTGAGGACAACTACACACCTGTGGCAGCACTGTCCTGCAAGTGTTCCACCAGGTAAGGCAGGAGGTAAAAGGTGGGGCATGGTCTAGGGCCAGAGTGCAGTAGGCATTAGGGAGAGATTCTGGATCAACATAAAGAATGCCCACCGATTAGTCCCATGCCCAGTGTACTGCTCTTACTCTAACACTTTCTTCCGAGAGGGAGGCTGCCAGGAGACCAGAGCATCTGGATGGACAAAATGAAGGCCATAGGGAAAAATGGCCCAGGTTTTGAAATCAAACCAGCCTTAACTCACACCTGCACTGCACATCTAAGCTCATTTCCACATATATGTAAATGACAGTAAGCACAACAACCTATTTCTCACAGGGATGTGCCTGTGGACTAAATAAGGCAACAGACTGGCCAAACACTGAGTCTGGCACCTAGTGTACAGCAAGAGCTTACTAAGTGCTAGTCATCATTATTGGTAAAGTTGGTTTTCCTAACCCTAAAACCTATGGCTCTGCTTCAATCATTCCTTACTTTCAAATCTTAAATTCTATGTCTATTATACACAAGAATGCAAAAGCAGTGAAAACAGCAAACTCTTGAAATTTGTCCCTATGTTCCACAGACAGCTGATTGCCAAGAGAATAACTGCTTATGATGTGGCAGGTCAGATTAAACACTTCCAATAATATATCAGGTATGCATTACAATATAGTAACAGCGTCACACTTATGTGGCATATAATACTGTTCCGTGCATTATGGAGATACAAAGGTACGCTCAGTTACTAAACAATTTACCTTTCTACGATGTTTCCTTAAGTCGCTAGGCTGATAGATGCATGCAAAGAAATGGAGAGAGACCAGATTTATTGCACACTTTGAAGTTAAAAATTCAAGGATCAGTGCAGGCAAATATATTACAATGTGAATGACAGACAAGAATAAGTGAGAGAGGATTTAGAGAAAATATAATTGGAAGTCCAAAAATTTTTCACCACAAATTTAAATCGAAGTTATTCAAGAGTTATTAGAAAACACTATAAGTTATTACTGAGAGAGAAAATTCTATTTGAACACTTGAGATTTAAAGCATGGCATTCTGTATAACAAAGGGCCCAATAACCATTCACTCTAAGCCAAAAATCTCTATTACAATATTCAAATGATGAGGAAGTTAGCACAATACCTATTATAAAATGAATAAACCTGTATTCAGTTAATCATCTTTAGGACAACAATGTAAAATCCTCTCCTAGAATACGATTTACAACTTCTCAAAATATAAATTTATTGCTGGGTGCACTGGCATACACATGAAACCACAGCGTTCTGAGAGCTGAGGCAGGAACATTGCAATGTTTGAGCTCAGCCTGGGCAACTTAGCAGGACCCTGTCTCAAAATAAAAATAATACTAAAATAAGGGCTGCACACATATCTTGGTTCACAGGCCTGGGTTCAATCCCTGGTACTGTGGGAGACAGAGGAGAGGAGGACAGGGAGCAAATATTTTGTGAAAATATGTAACAACAAAAACTATCACAGTACTAGGTAGAATCTTTACATTCTGTGATTACTGTAAGGTATTTTAGTTTAAAAGTAGTCTATTAAAGGGCTTGGGATTTAGCTCAGTGGTGCCACTGACTGCCTCACAAGCCCAAGGTCCTAAATTTGATCTCTGGTACCAAAAAAAAAAAAAAAAAAAAAAAAGTAGTCTATTAAAGACTGTGGTATACATCCACTAAGTTGATGGGATTTAGAATTCTGATTATAACCACTAAACCCAGAAAGTAATATTGTCTGTATAAAGTTTCCATTAATTTTATACTCCTCTCCCTACTTCTGCAATATGCAGGCTTAAACCCAGCCAGGGGCACTTGACGAATTACATTCTTAGCCATTTCTGTATTTTTATTTTGTCACAGAATCTTGCTAAACTGCCCATGCTGGCCTGAGACTTGCAATACTCTTGTCTTAGCTTCCCCAGCAGCTAGGATTATAGGCATGTGCCACTGCACTAGGCTCAGATTATTTAACATAGGGACTATTTCATTATGAATCAAACAGATCCTACACAATCTAAGCAAAAACACTCAACCATTTATATGGTCCCTGTATCCACATTTATGACATACTAATTACGATTTACCACTACTGAGAAAAACACATTTTTAACCACAACAACCCACTAATCAGTCATAATCCAGCACAGATTCACACACAGTTGCCTGATTAACTGCGCAGGCTGTGAAGAGCCATCAAAGCACAGGGAGGGACTAGGAAGGGAGCTGGATGGATAAACTACAGACTAATAGGAACCTGGGGTTTGGATTAGAAATGAATCTGGAGATGGCTAAAATGAAAACAACACAAAGGTGATACAGGAAATCAAAACCAAAAAGAATGTTAGCCAGCATACTGAATTACAGAACCAGGAAAAAATATACACAGTTTTCCCTTCGTCTTTCCTGGTACCGGGAATGAAGCCAGGGGCACTCTTAACACGAAACATACTCAAGCCCCCCCGCCAATTCCGACATGGTCTTGCTAAATTGCCCAGCCTGGCTTCAAACTCATGATCCTCCTGCCTCTCAGTCTCTCAACATCTAGGATTATAGGTGTGACCAAACGTACTTGGGATACTCAGTCCTTTTTGAGTCAGGATCTCTCTGAATTGTCCAGGCTGACTTCAAACTGGCAAACCTCCTACTTCAGCCTCACAAGTAACTGGGATTATAGGCACATGCTACTGCAATTCTTTTTTTAAATGTCTGGAAAGAAATAAGGGTGAAACCAAATAATGAGGCAGTCAAAGAGGTTAAAATGTAAGTCTGAGGGCCAGGGACTTAGCTCAGTGGCACTGTGCCTGCCTTGCAAGCACAAGGTCGAGTTTGACCCCTGGTACTGCAAAAAAAAAAGTAAGACTGAGGCCAGTCTGGGCAACTCTAGCAAGATCCCATTTCAAAATAAAAGTTAAAGCTACGCAGGGTGGCATGTGCCTATAATCCCAGCACTTGGGAGGGTGAGGCAAGAGAACTGCTGTTGAGTTTGGGTCTAGCTTAGGCTACATAGTGAGTTTGAGGTCAGCCTGACCTAACCAGCAAGACCTTTGTTTTGAAAATCCAAAAAAAAACAATAAATAAAACTCTTAAAAGAGAAAAAAAAGAGCAGGGCTAATAGTATAAATTATGAAAATAGTATATCCAAATGTTACAAAAGAGACTGGTTACACTTAACATGTCACTAAAATGACTTGGTTCATTTAATTATATGCTGGCTAACAATGCAACTAAAAATGAAAATGTAGAGCAACAGAAAAAAAATGGTGTAAGTACAGGTGAAAAGCAGAATACTGTAAATACTATTTCACGTGAAATGTAATCTCACAGGTAAGATAGCACAAAGCCTAGACTATACCACAAAGTCTTCTCATCTGCACAGTCACCAAAGAATCTCCAGGGCAGAAGTGATGCACAACTGATGAATGAGAAGTCCATCTGCCTCTCAGGAAGCTAGGAAGAGGCTCAGATGTGAATGGCCTCACACACACACACACACACACACACACACACAAACTTCACTCAATGTTTGTACATTTTTTAATATGCTATGACTCTCTGTAATTATCTTTGTTAACTGTCTATTCATAGGAAACAGGAAGCATTCCTCTTCTGGCTGCTGTGTCTTGCACAAAGCCGATGCTAGATGTCTAGTGTAGTAGCATGATTAAATAATAAGTAGTTTTCAAAATCTTGAGCTTCTCAGAATAAAAAATATAGGTGATTTTCTTCTGGGTAAAAAGATGAGAATTCAATGTGCAACACTTCACTCAGGGATCTGGGGCAGCGGCAGGGGAAAGGCCACACTTACCAGAGTCATGACGCCCAGCCTGTCCACCTCCCGGGCCGGGCTGTGAGGAACCCTTCTAGGGGTGGAGCGACCGCTGCCTGGAGGAGAGGAGCCAGCAAGCGAGGAAGCAGGATAGGGGGGAATAGAGCTCATTGATCTAAAACGACCAAGATTGTCTAAACTTCCACTGCCAACTCTACTCTCAATCTCCTCTGCCCGCTGCTCTGTGTTTTCCTTTTCTTCTTGTATAAGCCTAAAATAAAAAGAAAAATGGTCATTCTCCCTTACTAGCAAACAGATTCATGTGTGTGGATTTAAAAAAAAATCTACTCATACTCTATATTACTGTAAGCAAATTCAATAACTTGATCAATTAACACTTCTATTTTGCACCCATCTTTAATGAATTTTACAACAATGAAAAGTAAATCTTCTGTTGAGTTTTATTGATTTTGATACCTCTCATTTCATTTTATTAATCACATTCCACATTTGGAAGGGGCTGGCTGGCAACTTTTTCTATGGTTACAGCTAATAATTCCTTAGTAAGCAAAGTATCGTTTAAACTTTACAATTCTTACCTCCTTATTTAGAGCAGAGCTATACATTTCACTATAGATTTAATCACTGGAAATCAGAAACTCCAATTAAAGAATTGATCCCCCCCAAAAATGACAAGTTCCCAAGCAATTCATTAGACTAAATTAAAATGATGTGCCAGGACTGGGGATTTATAAGCCTGCCTGGCAAGCACAAAGTCCTGAGTTCAACTTCCAGTATGAAAAAAATGTCAAAATGATGTGCTGATTTATTTTTTCAAAGTTTAGATTTGTTTTTTGTCATTTTTTTGGTACTGGGGATCAAACGTGGGAGCTTGCGCTTGCGAGGCAGGCGGCTGAACCACGGGGCTAAATCCCCAGCCCTCAAAGTTTAAATTTGATCACAAGTGTTGCCTGATAGAATTCTCTACTTTTCTTGCCTGGATTTCTGTTAACCATGCTGCACAAATTTAGAATTCAAGATTAAATTTTCTTCTATTTTAAGGCATTATGGGTAACTTCTTTCCATTAGTTATCTATCATGGGTAATTAAATAGTGGTTGTGGTATTTTATTGTATCAATGATAATTATTTTAACATTAAAGCAAAAATCTTACAATGACTCTGCAATTTCTTTACTATTAGGGTAATTATTAGCAGAATCAAGGTTCTACTTATATATTCTAGAAAAAGTATTTTCTGGTTGATATTATTATTATTATGTACCAGGGATCAAACTCAAGACCTTCTGTTTGTGAGGCAGGCGGTGGCACCACTGAGCTAAATCCCTGGCCCTGGCTATTATTAATAAAAGGAAATCTCCAGGTTAGTGGATAGATCTTACCCATATACCAAGTCAATTTATTGTATAATTATTTCTATCTAGCAATACATTGTAAAAAGTAAAGGTATATAATCTTTTTACATTCCCATAAAGATGGAGGACTATCTTTCTGAATTATCACTTTTAAAAATGGAACATGCAGGTTGGGTGTAGTGGCACATGCTTGTAATCCTAGTACTTGGGAGGCTGAGGCAGAAGGACTACAGTGAGTTCGAGGACAGTGTGGGCTACATAGTGAGTTCAAGGCCATCCTGAACTACACAGTAAAACCCTATCTTAACAACAATAAATGGCAGCTGCAAACTCAGTTTATGAAGTCAAACACTTAGGCAGCATAACGGATTTTCTGCTTCAAAGTCTACATCCTTTGGATGTTTATTTTCTTCTCTTTTTTCCCTTCTGTGATACTGGGGATTGAACACAGGACTCTTGCACTGAGCTACATCCCTAGGTCTGTGTTTTTTCCCCCCATTAAGTTTACTGGTACATTTAGGCATACAATATGATAACATTCATCATTGGGAATTTGTACCTTTACACAATATATCTTGGTTCTTTTTTTTTTCCCCCATTCCCCTGCTCGCTCTTCAACCCTTCCACCCTCCTTATTTACAATGACTTTATTTCCGTTTTTCCCTTTTCTCATGTTTATTCCTTTCCCCTACCCTCCCATTTCCCCTTCCCCTTTGGACCTTTTCTTCCTACTTCATAGCATTTATTATACATTTGGATACTTATTTACACTTTTAGTTTCTCACGCCAGAGAAACTATCTGGTATTTATGCATGTGCTATCTGTATATTTCACTTAAGAGTATGGCCTCAAAGTTCTTCCGTTTAGCTATGTCTCTAGGACCTTTATTTGAGACCGGGTCTCACCATTAACTTGCCTATGTGGGCCTTGAACTTGCCATTCTCTTGCCTCAGTCTCCTAGAGTGCTGGGATTTCAAGTGCACACCACCATCCCCAGATATTTGTTTTCTTACTTGCCTAAGGCTCTCTATAGGCAATAACAGGTATTTTTTAACTGATCAATTTGAAAGAACATTCCCTAAACCACACCTGTCCCCAGCATAGACCACAAAAATAGTTGCTTTTTATGTAGATCCAGGACTGGCTGTGACCACATCAGCTCTGAGCCACATGGAAGATCTAAGGGCACCTCTGACCATAATGGTGCATCCCCAGACCGTCACTGTGAGCAGGGGTTACCTGAGCCCTCTTCATCACTACATGGACAGATTCGTGGATCTGATTCCAAAACTGGCCCACTGTTTGGTAAATTTCTTACTGTAACCCCTAACAGAATTGCTAAAGAAAATACAAAGTCTAAAAGATTCAGCCAGGCATGGTGGCACATGCCTATAATCCCAGCATTTGGGAGGCTGAGGCGGGAGGATTGCTGTGAGTTCGAGACCAGCCTGGGCTACACAGTGAGTTCCAGGTCAGTCTCAGCTACATAGTGAGACCCTGTCTCAGAAAAACCAAATTAAAAAAAAAAAAGATTCAGATATCCTCCCTTTATTATCCTACAGAGAATAAATTTTCACAGGCTGCAATAAGTTAATACAGCAAGACTAGGAGGAATGGGGACCTGCAAACCAAGACCCTCTACTTTCCATGCAGGGCTGTCATTCAACAGACTCCTGGAAATGAAGCTCTGTGAGGTATACACTGGTGGCCTACCAGAGCAGATGCAAGAGAACCATGGGGTTTGGTCAAGGGGATGCTCAGGCTACATGGGTGTTGATAAACAGCCTTCCTCATTCCTCATCTTTGGCTTACCATGGGCTATGCTTATGCTGACTTCTCTCCTGCCGAGTCATCCTGTTGTCTGGCACTGGCCAGCAGAAGGAAGCTCTGTGTATTCCAGATACTATCTCTCAAGTCACACATCTTCCCCTTGTGCAGAGTTAGAGAGGTGAGTGCTCTGCACATCTTTCCCTCCAGGAATAGTTCTGGCTGCCAGGGGAAGCTGAGTTGGCTCAGGGTTCCCCAGGTAGGCACTGAGCCCCTGGGGCTCTCTCCAACTGTGTTGTTAGCTTCTGGGGCAGAGGCTTAACACCTTTCATCTCCCATAGTATCCCACACAAAAAATACTAGCACCACAACTGCAGGGTGACAGCTCTGATTATTTGACTTTTTTTTCTTTTTTGGTACTGGGGATTGAACTCAGGACCTTGTACTTGAGAAGCAGGCAGCAGATCCACTGAGCTAAATCCCCAGCCCAGGTTATTTGAATGTATAATCAAGACAAACTTAGAAGTTGGAGAAATATTTTTTGTGGGGCTGAGGATTTAGCTCAGTGGCACTACCCCTGCCTCACAAACACAAGGTCCTAAATTCAACCCCCAGTACTTTAAGGTCTCACTACAAAGGTCACAGTATGTAGTTCAGGCTGGTTTTGAACTCACTATGTAGCCCAGGTTGGCCTTAAACTTGGCATGATTCTCCTGGCCCATCCTCCTAGTGGTGGACATGTGCCACCACTCCTGAAGATAAGTTAAAATTCTTAAAATAGCCAGGAATGGTGATGTACACTTATAAATCCAGCCACTTGGGAGGCTGTGGCAGGAGAGTTGACAAATTCAAGGCCAGCCTGGACAACTTAGCAAGACCGTGTATCAAAATAAAACATTAAAAGACTGTAACTCAGTAGTAGAGCACTTGCCTAGCATGTGCCCTGGGTTCAATCCCTTTGATATACCTCCATGAAACAAAATTTAATTGAGTTCTATTAATATAGAACATTTAGAAGATGTTAATTCTCTTTGTTTGAGACTCTTCAGGGCCCATTAGGCAACCCCACACACCTGATCTCTTTGTTGATGGCATCCAGCTGCTCCTGAAGCATCATGGCCAGCGTCTGTGCATCAGCCTGCCCGCTGGGTGACAAGAGATCAACTGAGCTGAGCAGAGTGTCCCTGTCATCTTCACCATCAGACACATCAACATCACTCTCAAATGCCTGTGCAACATTTGCCAAAACACTGGCTTGCTGGGCACGTTCCCAATCCTGTTCATTGAGAGTCTGTACCTGTTAACAAGAAAGCTGAATATCAGCAGATTGAAACCAACAAGGCTAGGTATAGGAACACGAAAGAAATGTACCAGAAATTAAAAAAAGTATAAATGGAGGCCAGAAGAGTTTGCAAACAAGGGTCATGTTTATAAGCTGCTGACATGTGATATGAAAGAAATGAGCGCAGCTTGGTCGCACACATCTATTACCCCAGCTACTCAGGAGGCTGTGGCAGGAGAATAGCAAGTTTGATCTCATCTTGGCCAAATTGGTGCAAGCCAGTCTAGAATAAAATAAAAAGGTCTGGGGATTTAAGTCAGCCCTCCCTGGGTCCAGACACTAGTTGGGTGGGTGGAGAGGAACAGTGAGCAGGGAACGAAAGCATTGTTGCTGTACCCCAGATTAGCCATGTTAAAAAATAAAGAAAAAAATGACTTACACACACTGGGCTCACTCAGCTGCCATTACATTTTACAAGTTTTATCAAATGACACAGTGAACCTGAGTCTGCAGTCCCTTCCTTTCCTGATGCTGGCATTAACAAGTATTGAGAAAAGCAGAGGAAGAGAAGCAAAATCATAGAAACAAGAGCAAGCTGTGTGGACACACTGCTTCTAAGGGTGTAGGTAACAGTGAGCTGGAAGGTGGGATATTGTTGAGAAATGCAGTTCCCATAGAAAAGAGTTTGTAATCAGAAAGTATACAGAACAACCATGTACTGGCCACCCTGGTAACATCACTTAGCCTCATTAACTTTCCTGATTCATTCCTTCAGCATAACAACATTTTCTCCTATCTCTCCACCTTTAAACAACATAAGAGTAACCACACTTTTACCCTGACCTCTGGCTCCAGGCTTCTGAGGCCCACCAGCCCCACTTGTTTGTCCCCTCAGGACCTTGCGCATGCCAGGCAGATGTGGCGCCGCTGAGCTACATCCCTGGCCCTAGATTTTTTTTTTTTTTTGGTTCGGGAGATCCAACTCGGGTCCTTGAGCTTGCAAGGCAGGCTGCCCTGGCTCCTTTGTTATGCCTTGCAGCACCTCCCTGCTGGCAGAACTGCTCCAGGGAAGCCCTAAATTACAAGTTAATGTCTTCCATACTCTGTTCCCCTTGACAGCCTTGGATTTAGTTGCTCCTCCTCCATCCTGAAGCATCTTGCTCTTTGGCCCCCAGGATACCACCTCTTCTGATTTCCTCCTACCTGATGGATCTCTCCTGACTCATGCTAGTTCCCCCAACTCCTGTAATTCTGAAGTACTCCATGGCTCATCTGTGGACCTATCAGCAGGCTTTCATGTGTGACCTTAGCTTGCCTCAAGCCTTCAAACCCGACCTGTAAGCTCACAAACCTCCACATTATAGCTTTAGCTCTAGACTGTTCTCATGGATATGAGTGTATGATCCTACCTCTTGGGAGACAGGACATGCCTGTCAACCTGATTACAGCCACAGCTCAACTCCTACTCTGCCTCGATTCTGCTGCCCTTCTCATCTCAGGAAATAGACTCCAGCCTTCTGGCAGCTCAGGCCTAAACCTAGGGGTCACCTTGACATGTCACTCCTTTATGCTGTGTCTAAATCTCTCAACACACACTGGCGGCACTACCTAACAGTGTGTCAGAATGGTTCCTTCTCTTTCCACCTTTAGGTCTTTGTTTACTTATCATTCTTGTGGTGACACCTCCGTAGCTACTCTACTAAAAATTCTCCACACTCCACAACCAAGGTATCTTGGGCCCCTTCTCTGTTTCCTGCTTATTACCACTTGACATACTGGAATGGTTTGAAAATATGTCCACAGACTCTCTAAAGCTCCTCTCTTTAAAAAGAGTCGGAGGACAAGTCTCACCTCCTCCACACCGAGTGAACAAGACCCAGTAACACCTCGGAGGAAAAGAAAAGAATGGAAGTGAGGGAGTGCAACTTGCCCGAACAGAAAGCCAAGGCACTAGGCTTTCTCCTGCTGAAAGTGTGCGCTCTGAGGAAAGCCAGCACCAAACAGCCCCACAGCTAATACACACAGTGAGGACCCGAGCCTCCGGCCCACAGCTGTGTGAGACCCAGTGCCCTGTCACAGGGCTCTGTCAGGCCCTATACAGCTGCAATCTAGTCACACCCTGAGCTGGAGTCACCCTGGTGTGCTGCTCCTGAACTCATGCAATGGTGAACCAGGAAGGCTCAGTTTTGAGCCACTAGACACTTTGTAGTAACTTGTTATATAGTGCTAGATAACTAACATTCCTGCCACATTTTACTTTGCTCACTGCTTGTTTCTTCTCAGTAGAATATTTGTACACTGAGGTGTAGACATCTTACCTTTTTAAGCACTGCTGAAGCCCTAAGTCTACAGTGGTGCCTGGCCCAAACTAACTGTTCAACAAGTATGGGTGGTCAGTTAACAGCAGTTTATTGAAAGACATGCTGTTGAAGAGACTGAAGTATGTAGGTGCAACATTTCAGCTCTGCAACGTTCTTCAAAGGCCGGTGTGAAAGGCCTGCTTCCCCAGCCCACACTGGTGTGACCTGTGGGAGGACTCTGGGTCACTGAGGGTGTGCTTCTGAAGGGGACTGTGAGATGCTGGCCCCCTCTTATTTCCCTCTTTTGTGTTTTCCGGCCATGAGGTGAGCAGCTGTGCTCTGTCACATGCTCCAACATGATGTACCCCCTCACCGAAAGCTACAAGGTCAACTGATTATGTATTAAAATCCATAAAACTAAAACTGTGAACCAAAACAAAGCATTTTCTTTTCACAAGATTGTCTCAGACATGTTATCATATTAGAAATATGAATTTTCACTAGTTCATAAATACATATATTCATTATTGTCAATCACTACTTTAAACTGGTACTAATTAGCATTGTATACATCTGACTAGATTGTAGTTTATCAAAATTTCTCCCCACCACCAAAAAAAGCAAAAAAAAAAAAAAGGAAGAATGTCCTTAAAGTACACTCTTAAAAAAATGAAAATGGGGGAGAAGCAGCAAGCCACCTAACAAGAGATTAGTTCAAGACACTCAGGTAACTTTTATGCAAGCAGATGTACTTCCTGCAAGGCCTTGCCTTGGAAGGCTCATCCCGCAGCGCTGCCAGCCGGCCTTTCTGGGGGCGCCGCAACACTGCACTGGTGCTGTAGGCATCTGTGTGCCCGTCTGCCATGGGGAGCCTGAAATCTGGGACACTGCCCAAGTGGGGACGGCTGAAATGTGAAACAAAGGTTGTTGTTAGAAGGTAAACAAGCTTTGTGACTCCTCAAGCCAGACCTGTCGATTTGGAAACCACATAATTTCACCCAGGAAATGGTCTCCAAAGGAGGGCATTTTCCTTATATGCTGAGAGATACACTCAGCCTGCTCAAAGCCGATATTTTAATTGTTAGTTTTCCAGCTCTACCAGGTGGGAAACTGCACTATCCAGGAAAATCCCATCCAGACTACTACAGACATGGAGGAAAGACAGATATCCAGGGTCTAGTCTGCAGACACCTGAAACTCATCTGAGAATTGTCCTCTTGGTCAAGGCTGCAGCCCCCGCCTTTCTACTTTCTCCACAGCTGACCAAGGGGCATACCCAGATGCCACTTCCAGCCTTCCACTGATTTGCAGTTTTCCTTCTTAATGTCAAGACTGGTGGAGTGAGAACCAGCAGTCACAAAGCCATCTTGAGGGCCCCGGCTGCACAAGTCCCTTCCACACAACAGGGGCACCCGTGAACGAGCTGCAATTTACCTTTTTGTTTTTGAGCCAAAAGCCCAGGCCTGTGTTCAGTTAAGCATGCCCTCCTCAGGGATATGGGGAAGCATTGTTGTTCCCATTGGCCAAGTCCTCAGGAAAACAGCAGAAACTCAGCCCTACCACTCACTCATGGTGTCCTTCCTGCCCGCTTCTGCTTCTAGTATTCCTGGTTCCCAGTAAAGAAGGTGGCTGCCTTCATTTCAGAAATCCTTCAGAGGCAAAGCTCTTGGGAGATGGAACCGACTTATCTGCTCATGGGAAGTTATGCAGGGGATCCCTCATGACTTCTCCAATCCACAGACAGAGCCCATAGGATAGGCCAACTCGTTTACTTTAGGTTTACAGACTCTTCTCCACATTGTTGTTTTTTTTGGAGACAGGGTCTCGCTTTGTAGTTCAGGCTGGCCCTGAACTTACTATGTGGCCCAGGCCAGCCTGAAACCCACAGCGATTCTCCTGCCTCTGCCTCCCAAGTGCTGGGATTACAGACGTGCGCCACCACACTTGGCTCCACTCCACATCTTAAAGAAATGTCCCCATGAAGTGTATGAGAGATGCATGACTTGTTTATAATATACCAAAGTCTGGCTTTTCCCTCTGACCACAACTGTCTTATTTCCTCCACTCCCTCATACCTAATTAAATTGATTATTCACTTTTTTCCAGCATGACTTTAGCTAGATGCTCTGGGATCATGGCACACTTCAGAACTAGATAGAAGCTAAGTACATAAAATTGTGTGCGTAATCACAGACAGTTCAAGGATCCTCTGAAGGTCACCAATGCCTCCTAATTTTGATTCTTTTTAGCTTACTTCCCCCAGCTCTGCCATCACCTGCAACCAGTCATTTCTCAGACTTTTTTTTTTTTTTTTTTTGGTGGTTCTGGGGATTGAACTCAGGAACTTGTGCTTACCAGGCAGGCATGGTACCACTGAGCTAAATTCCTGGCCCCCCAGTCCTTTTTTTTTTGGGTGCTAGGAATCAAACTCAGATCCTTGGGCTTGCGAGGAAGACAGCAGAACCTCTAAATCTCCAGCCCCACCAGTCTTCTAATAGAAGGCTGTCTTTCATCTGTCTTTGCCTTAGATCACAAATATAAGAGGACTCATTTCACTGTGAAGTCATGTGAAATATAAGGACTTAGGCCCACCTACTACTATGCAATCTTTCCAATCCTCCTAGCCATGGCCTATGCTATCCTGTGATTCACCCTGCCCCTTTAAGTCACCTCTAAGCCACCTAATATGGAACCTCCAGACCTGTCTCCTGGAACCAGGCCAGCTCCTCTTTGCTGCTTTTGATGCCACTGTCCTCATGCCCGCCAGCAGTGTGTGACATAGTCTATCCCTGCTGCCCCCTCAGAACTCCCACAGTAACAGTTCCTCTCCCTTGCCTCCTTTCACTTCCCCACCTTAGGGTGGTAAACATGAGAAGCCTTCTATAGCTTAAAACATCTCCCCCTAAAATTTTTTTGCTCCTTCAACTTCTCCCTCTCCTTTCCCTCATTACTGAAACTCTTCCCTTAAGAAGGTCATAAGCACTGTAATTTACTGACACACTCTTCAAATACACATCTTACTGACTCCCCAGCACTGTGTCTGTTATGGCCATCTTAGTGACACTAGCCTCCACTGGCAAGGCTATCAGCCAACCCAGCCATCTTTCTGTCCTCATGGCCCTTGACATGCCCTCTCTGCAAGCAGGTAAACCCTCCTCTTGGAAAATCCATGCTGCTCTGGTTTTTCTTCTTACTTTCTAGAAGTACATGTGAGTGGGACAGGGCATGGGATGCCCTACCCCTTCATATCTTAAACGTGTAATACAAAAGAGTATGCCGAGACTCTGCACTTTCTCCCATGCCATACTTCCCATACCCTGATCTCACAGCTAACCACTTTGGTAACTTTTGCTAAAGTTTAACTCTCGCATGACAACCATTTTCTTCAAAGAAACACACACACAAGCTCCGAATGCTATACTATACCCACAAAGTATCAAGCCGCTCTGGAGCTCTACCTGTGCAGGTGCTTCCAGGGCAGGCTCAGCTTACGATGTCACTTCCGCTCCCATGAAGGCAGCCCTTCAACTCTTCTCCTGGGCTCTGTCTTCCTGTCCCTGCACCTCAACATCACACTGCATTAGGCACCTAGGTATGTCCAAATATTCCTTGGCACCCAAGCCTGTATTTTTGAGTTTTTCCAATGATGTGTCTTCCCAGGCAAAGCTTCCACCTCTAAAAGGATATTTTGATCTTTCCCCTGGCCTGTCACCTTGATACAGGCTCCGAGGTCAAATCATGTCTCTACCCAGCTGTGATGCCCACCTGGCCAAGGACAGGCCCCTGCTTGCGCATAGCAGTGGTGAAAGCACATGTGATATCATACCCAAGGTGGAGTGAAGCCCCTCTCAGCCTCATCTGGTCCAGCTCTGCCCTCAGAGCTTCGATGTTCAGGACAAGCTGCTCCTATAAAACAGTATGCCACATTGATACTATTTCATTTAGATTTTATAACCACTTGCATCAAACATACTCAGATGTTGAACATAACCATTATCAGGTGAAATTGGCAGTTATAAATACCAAACATTTCAATTCTGAGAAAATTTTCTCCCTGAGTTCTGTAGTAAATTAATGTAAACCCCAATGAGTAAAAAGCTGTTAATTCAGTCACAGAAAAACTGTAAAGGGGATAATCAACAACCTATAAATAATTATTGTTGTAGAAAGAAGCCTCTTAGGGAACAATATTCACCCACTCATGCACATGTAACTATATTACTGTCTCATACCAAGTATGTGCTCATTCCTGTCTTATTTCTAGATCTGCAAAGACCAGCACAGTAGCCAATGGACACACAGGGCTATTGAGCCCTTGAAATGCAGTGGTTCAAACTGACATGTGCCGTGATCCTGGAATATACAGATTCCAAAGACAGTATGTAAGCCAGGCATGGTGGCACACACCTGCAATCCCAGCACTTGGGAGGTTGAGGCAGGAGGATCGCTGTGAGTTCAAGACCAGCCTGGGCTACATAGTGAGTCCCAGGGCAGTCTCAACTAAAGAGTGAGACCCTGTCTCAAAAAAACAAAAACAACAAAACAAAGACAATATGTAAAAGGAATACAAAGTGGCCCAGTAAGTTTTACATTAATACACAACGAAATAATATGTGGCTATATCAGGCTAGACAAAATTAATTTCATCTGTTTCTTTGTAATTCTTCAAATGTGGTTACTAACAACTTAAAATCTATACATGTAGCTCATACTATACTTCTGCTCAACAGTACTGGATTTTTTATTGTTGTTCTGGTTTTCTGAGACAGGGTCTCACTATGTAGATGAGAGACTGACGTGGAACTCACTTTGTAGTCCAGGCTGGTCTCGAAATCACAGCGATCCTCCTGCCTCAGACTCCAGAGTGCTGGAAATACAAGCATGCACCACCACACCAAGCAGTACTGGATTTTTTGTTTTTCAGTACTAGGGACTGAACTCAGAGCCTCTGCACTGAACTACATCCACAGCGATTCATATGTATGTATATGTTTTCTTCTTCTTTTTTTTTTGGACCAGGGATCGAACTCAGGTCCAGGCGGGAGAACCACTAAGCTAAATCCCCGGCTCTTCTTTTCTTTTTTTGAAGCAAGACCTAAGTCACTAAGCTAGACTTGAACCTGTGATCCTCGTTTCTGTCTCCAAGAGTGCTGAAATTATAGGCGTGACACCATGTCTGGCTTGTTTGTTTACTTACTTAGCTGCACTCCCAGCCTTAATGGCACTACTTTTTTTTTTTTTAAACAATGGCTTAAAATCCTTTTATTTTATTTTTCTTAATTGAGTTTATTGGTACATTTTAGGTATACCAGTTTTACATTCATTATTGGGATCTTGTACCTATACGTAACAGGGCTTGGTTCTCATTTTTTCCCCTTGTCCCTACCCTGCCTTCACCCCCTACTCCCCTCCCCATTTACAAACACTCTGTTTCCATCTTTTCATTTAATGGCACTACTCTTGATGAAAGGTTTATGCTAATATTTCGGCCTCAAATCTAGAAAAGACTCTGGATTTGTACCCACTGCATCTCAAATACAAATCCAGGAATGTTATGTGTCTTATTTAAATAGGTAGACTAAGAAAGCCAAAAAGAAAGTTTATCTCAACTTCTTTCAAACATCCATGGTAACTATAAAATAACTCAATTAAATTTAGCTCTTAACACAGTTCTCAATAAACAGGAAATTTAAGTACCTTATCATGTTGTGTTTCTTCTAACTGCTTTTTCGCATTTTCAACTTCCCTTAATAGAGAATTCTGAAAAAGATAAAGAGAGGTCTTCAGTACTAATTCTTTAAAACATCTCATGTAACAGTGTGGCAATGGGAAGGCTCACATGGGTGTACTAAGGACAGTGCCACAGTCCCAGCCCATCACTGGTCACAAGACTAGGCCAACATATTCTATCTCTTGATCACATAAAACTGCTTCTTTCATTGATCAAAAGTTCTAGATTTAAGCATGCCTAGTTCATGGTGCAAGTGTATGTTAAATAAGTAGACTAGTTTATAATAATGTTTAGGTTTTGCAATTCTTTGGTCACTTAAATTGGAAATCTAGTTTCAAACGTAAAATTAAATCAAAGGAAAAAAACTCCTAATTTAAAAACTAAGCTGATCAGAAGGTGAGAGTTACTATTCTATGAGATCCCTGGCACCAATCTTGGGACATTTCTGAGCCTCATCTCCAGGGACACTGCACAATCAGGACAGGTGTCATGGAACCTGAGGCCAACTGACGGTCAGAATGTCTCTGACAGAGACTCTGGAACACCCATCACTCTGGGAGAAGCTAGCATAATTCCATGATTCAAGCACTCTGAGCCCAGGCTCAAATTTCTTCCAAAATAGTTGAAAGAGAAAGAAGTAGGGGAATAGGAGACTACTTGGTTCAGCTGATTAAATCCCTGCCTACTATACCATATGCCTGAAGCACTAGCTACTGTGTTTGTAAAAAAGATAGAAATTAACTTCCGAGCCAGGTGTGGTGGCACGCACCTATAATCCCAGCACTCTGGAAGGGCAAGGCAGGAAGATCCTAAGTCTAAACCCAGCCGGGGCAATTGAACAATTTAGTGAGATCTTGCCAAAACAAAACAAAACAAAAAAAAGTTTACTTCTAATGACAAAGCATTAAGGGGTGAGAAATGGGCCAAATAAAGATTATAGTGCAGAGCCTGGCAAACTAGGGCCGATTAGCCAAACACAGCCCACTGGCTTAGTTCTGTGGAAAGAAAAAAACAAACGTTTAAAATTTTTATTTATTTTTTTGGTACCAGGGATCGAACTCCGGTCCTTGTGCTTACAAGGCAGGTGGCAGAACCACTGAGCTAAATCCGTGGCCCCAAACTTTTTTTTTTTTAGACAAGCCCTCTTCCCTTTGTACTCCAGGCTGGCTGCAAGATCCTGAAGCACCACCACATCCAGCTAAAATAAATAAAATTTTATTGGAACAAAGCTACATCCATTCACGCATGTGCCGTGTATGACTGTTCTGTGCTAATTGCTGGTTAGCACAGTTATTTTATTTAATTCCTTATAATTACTATAAGTCTGAAATGTTTCCTACCTGGCCCTTTACAAGACTCCACGTACCTACTCCTGTCTTAGAGAATAGAATGACAATTTCCCATACACTCAAATGGGACACAAACACATCAAATGACTAAGTCAACTTAGTGACTGATGGTGGCCTACACCTCTCCCCCACAGTAGGACCCCCGCTCTCTCTAGCAGTTGTCCACCACTGTCAGCCCGTCCTTAAGGAGAGGATGAGTGCTCCTCTGAGAAAGCCCCCCAGTGAGTCTGTGCTCAGTCTACCTTATCCTCCAGCGAAGCCATTCTCTCCTTTAAATGGAGCTGAAGCCTCTCATTGGACTCTGAAAGTAGCTTGTCAACAGTGTCTGATAAACGTTTATTATGTTCTTCATTCATCTTTTCTCTTTGCCTTGCCTAAAACAGGAGAAACAAAGACTATGAACTTCAAGAAGATACATTACCATTACTTTAAAACTATCTGGGACCTTCAGGCATGGTGGTGCATGCCTGCAATCCCAGAGCTCTGGGAAGCTGAGGCAGGAGGATCTCAAGTTTGAGCCCAGCCCAGGCAACTAAGCCACTTAGTAAGATCTTATCTGAAAATAAATAATAATTTATAAAGAGCCAAGGATATACAAAGGACCAAGAGAATCACACTCATGCCCTCATTCCCCTGGCTGCTCCTTCCCACTGTCATCCCCAGTGGACTCTGTGACATGATGATCAGAACATATTCAAGCAAGAGAAAGGCCTTGGAGATTGTTAACTAGATGTTCCCATTGCTTCTGTTAAACACAGGACTCATGGGGGTCTTAGGAATGTCCACAGTCATTAACTGTAAGATGGACTTAGAGCAGAGATGGCATGAAGGAGCCAGAAGGTATTTAAGGGGATCAGCTTATGTACATACTCGTAGAAGAATTTCCCCTTGTGTAAATAAAAGCCTGAGCCTGGATTCAAGGAAAAAAAGGTTTTTTTTTTTTGGTTTTTAAAAAAGGTAAAAATAAATTGTTTTAAAAACTGTAGAGATAGGGAGGAATATTTTGTTTTTTAAAAATATTCCTGCATTACTTGAATTTCTCATAAATTTATATCCAAAGACTACAAACAATTACCTTAAGTAATTTTAAAATGTGGTAACAAAGTAGACAAGTCTGAGGTTTTGCCTGTTTTATTCCGTTACTGTAGTACTACGAATTGAACCCTGGGCACTGAGCTACATCCCCAACCATTTTTAAATTTTGAGACAGGGTCTTAGTAAGTTATCCAGGGTGGGCTGGAAATTGTGATCCTGCTGCCTCAGTTCTGAGAGTGCTGGGATTACAAGTGTGCACCCTCAAAACTGGCAAATAGTCATTTCAAGACTTAAAAGATTTGTTTTCACTCCATATCCTGAATGACCACAAGCAACAAGTGAAAGGGGAAGAAGGTGCTTAACAGGCAGAATACACCCACTCCCTCATTGCCTGAGCACCGCTGCAGTGGTTAGGGGATCCTCCCAGGCAAAGGGCAGTGGGTACAGGCTATGATGTGCACTCACTTCTCCCTGTCCTGCCCAGGTAGGAGACTAACCCTACAAGAGCTTGCCTGTCACAAGGCTGGCAACATCTTCTTCATCATTGGTAAAATTTGAGTAGAGGTATCTCTCTTTCCTCAGACACTCAATGTAAAGATTAAATATATAAAGTCTTGTCATTATCTAAGAGAGACCCAATACCTCATACAGGATATAGAATATCTGATACCCTTCTTTAGACACATACGGTTATTTTTCTATCATTATTAGTAAGTAAAAGTTTAACTTTTTTTTGGGGGGGTACTAGGGATCAAATTCGGCCCTTGCACTTGTGAGGCAGGCAGCAGAACCACTGAGCCAAATTTCCGACCCTAACATTTACTTTTAATTGCCATAGTTATAAACAGCCCTATCACACTGGGTTATCCTTCATATCGCCATAAACAAGTTCTCACAGTAAGGAAGTTTTCTAATAGGAAAAAGGTCATTTCTGCTTATAGGTAAGTGTGCTTAAGGACATGGCTGTGTGCCAGGAGATGGGGACTGCCCAATATGCAGTCTCTTAATAGGCCTCAAAATCATCATTTCCTAGAAGCTTATCTGATTCTCTGCAGAGTATAGCCAAGGATACAGATTTCCAGTGAAAAGAAAACCTAACAGTCTTAACATTAAAAAAAGCTGGTTGATGTGGGAGTATGAAAGTTCTGCAATTAGATATTTATGCTTCCTCTTTCCACCCATAAAGAGAATTCCACCCTCAAATACTAGGCCAGGGACTTGGTTAGCTTGGCCTGGGACTGCCTCTTACTGTATCTGTTCCATACTGATACTCACCTACCTCTGCCAGGGAAAAATTCTCTTAGGATTTCAATTGATACAACCCTCTACCACCATGTTTTCCTAATGCTCTTTTTATGGAAGCTAAATTGTGATATTCCTTTTGCTCAGAAATACCCCTTCCTGCATCTACCCTTACTTTTAGAGTTAATAACTCAGTACTTTGGGATAGGTCTGACTCTGAATTTGGGACTTCAGTGCCACATGCTGAGCAAGTACAACACTCATCTACAGCGACAGGCCTTGCTCTGTTTTGGGTGGGCCCCAGCAAGTACCACAGGTTTTGGGAGAATCTGTAAGGTCCTACTTGTACCTGAGCAGTTCCCCCAACAGACTGGCTAAGCAAGAAGTCTTTGCTGGACCTGGGATTCCATGTACTCCTGAAGTGCTGCCCATGGGCATGTGTTTCTTCTGGGGACATTAAACTTCCATGTGGGGGATGTACTCATCAGTAGACAACTCATGGATGAGGCCACAAAGTACACACAAACTGAGATGCAGGACCTCTGGGAGGCCAGAGAGAAGGGAGAAGTACAAAAAAAGCCCAATCCCCTCAGCCCTCTCTGGACCTTGGAGCTCCAGGCTCACAGCCCATTCAGCCCTTCTGGCTCCATACACACCCGCTGCAACTCTTGGTTCTTCTCCTCCAGCTGGGCCTCCATCTGCCGTAGCCTCTCTTCAATGTTGCCATGTCTTTCTTCAGCCTGCCAGCAAAGACAATGTGAGTTGATCTCATAGGCACTTTATTGGAGGCATGCTGTGTACTACTGCAGCAGCGACAAGCATCACATGCTCTGCGTGGACTGGCTGAACCACATCAAAGGGAAAGCCTTACTCACAATGGCCAGCACAACCTCTGTGGCTGTAGGTGTTAAACCGTGAGATAGCCAACCCTCTGGTGTGGAGATGCTGAAGCACAGCAGGTGCTAATGACTGACTGTGTGCTTCTCCCACCCCATGCCTGACCTCCACAGATTTATGATTTCCCCATCCTCAGACTGCATCTTGTTAGTTAGCAGGGAAAGCAGAAAGCAGCAGGCACAAGAAAGGAGCAATGTACACATTCTACCTTCCTAAGTTTGGAAGTAAGTTCGAACAGTTTAGCTTCCTTAACAGCAGAGCTCCCAGTAGGCAAAGGGTCAGACTATAAAACCAGCGAGGACAGAAAGATAGCAGGGAGAAAAGAAACCAACACTTTAAAGTAGATCACAAACGGGAGGCAAGGTTCTGTTATTGCTGGTAGCAACACATCTGCTCAAGGGGGCAGGCCTAACAACCTTGGACACCGCCCAACCACCCCAAGGTTACCCTTGCCAACAGGATGTAGAGTCTGTCCAGCCCCTTCTCCTGTCCCTCCCCAGCAGATGACTAAGCCCGAGCCCAGGAAGACAAAAACAAGACACCTTCCAGGGGCCAAGGCAGCCCCTCCCTACTGATGATGCTCTGGACCTGGCCAATGTGTCCTGCCACTACAACACTAAACCTTCCTTCCCTACATCCCTGGGAGTATGAGGCTTGCCAGTTAAGTGCTCCAGGGACCCTGTGTGGACTGACCAATCCAAGAACCTGCTATACCACTTTGGAGCTGCCTCATATGCCTGCTTCCCTGTGGATGGCAAGAACTGAGAGGTCAGGGGCTATTCCTACATGGGCTTCACCAATAGTTGTTAAATATTACTTTAAAAAATATTTTTAGGGCCAGAGATTTAGCTCAGTGGTTCCTCCACTTGCCTTGAAAGCACAAGGTCACAAGTTCGATCCCCAGTATCAAGGAGGCAAAAAAAGTTAAGTCAGACATTGTGAGTTATGACTGCAGTTTCAGTTATTTGGGAGGCTGAAGCTAGGGAGGCATGAACCTAGAAATCAGGAGTTTGGGATCAGGCTAAGCAATATAGCAAGATCTTGTGTCCAGAAAACAAACAAACAAATCCTCAAAGCATTTTTAAGGAATTTCAAAAGAATGAAATTTGAAATTACTTTAAAATTTCTTACAAGTTTATTGATTATCTTTATAAGAAAATGGCTTTTTGTATCTCTGAGAAAAGCTATCCTTTTTTTATACAAAGCCTCTAATGCTTTTGCTTGAAGTTGGTGACTAAAATAACCCTAGGAAGCAGTGACTCAGTTCACAACATGATGGATGAACTGGAAGGAAACTTGGAGTGACGACAGAGAAGGAGCAGTACCACCTCAGACGAAACAGCATTGAAAACAAATCTGAACTGTTCTGTAGATTCAGGAATAATCAAAGCCCTAGGGGCAGGATTTTTTTTTTTTGGTTTTTTGAGACTGGGTTTCACTATGTAGTGAGACTGACCTGGAACTCACTATGTAGCTCAGGCTGGTCTCGAACTCACAGCGATCCTCCTGCCTCAGCCTCCTAAGTGCTGGGATTACAGGCATGTGCCATCACACCCGCTTCAGGAAATTTTTAGCTCAGTGGTGCCTCTGCCTGCCTCGCAAGCACAAGGTCCCGAGTTCATCACCAGTACCAATAAATAAATAAATAAACAAACACATTTTTTTTAAAAAAGAGCAAATACATTTAAATAAATAAATACTCAAAGCCCTAGCATGTGAGTAGAAGTAGGGTACCTTGGAGAGCGCTGCCACTCTCTGGGCCAGTTCTGCCTCCACCTCTGGCAGTGTCTCTGCCTTCCTCAAGGTCTGCTGAAGCTTCTGCTCAGCCAGCTCCAGGCGCTCCTGTAACTGGCGGTTTTTATCCTCTGTCTAAAGAAGAGAGCTCAGCATCAGAGTGCAGCATCTCCTTCCTGGCTCTTTTCCGTTGTTAATAGATTTAGGCAAATTGAATGTAGATGTAGACTGAGCAGCGGGACAGAAGCCATGGGGACTGAGCAGCTGCTTCAGGGTGAGGCTTTTCTCTCTAACTTCTTGGGCTTGATTTCAATGTGGAAAACATCTTTTGATAAACTTTTTGCTTTTCATAAATATCTTCAAAGAAGTTAGTGTGTTTTTTAAAAAACAAAGGTTCTTATATATTAGGGAAAACCAGTTTTCCGTAAGCGCTCATTCATTCTTAACAAGTTAAGATAAGAAGGACTTAGTATTAACCCTTGTCAAAAAGCTGCCTGACCCCCCACTTGAAGGTGATACCACTTCTGCAGATTGTTACCAGCACGCAGGCCCTACGGGTCTGGGCACTTTTCCTATAAAGCTCTTCCAAAAACATCCTAATGACAAGCTGCTCAAGTTACTTTTTCAGTGGAAGACTGTTCTTTTTAAAAATTATTTTCCTCTATAAATTTCTACATAGAATATTGAACAAAAGATTTTAAAGAACATCTAGAAAACATCTGTAAGTACTGGTTGCGGGGAGGCTTTTTTCTTTTCTATGCAGTACTCCCTTTTCCGCAGTGAGTATTTATCTCAGTATATGAATATATACATCATCTTTTAAATCTTCAAAAACATACCATACATTCTATCTTATAATCTGCTTACTGAAGTCATTCTTTTTTTTTGTTTTGTTTTGTTTTTTTGAGATAGGGTCTCACATGTAGTTGAGACTAACCTGGAACTCACTATGTAGCCCAGGCTGGTCTCGAACTCACAGCAATCCTCCTGCCTCAGCCTCCCGAGTGCTGGGATTACAGGTGTGCGCCACCACACCCGGCACTGAAGTCCTCCTTCCTGTGAATATTTTACACATTATTAAATATTACTCTACAATATCACTTTTAATGGCTGCCTACTATTTTATTTTTGATCAAACAATGCATCTTATAAAATACAGTAGTACCTCAGTGCATAAACTTTGGAAAAGATGGCCACATTTCTGTTTGTGTGGGAATGAGGGCCAAGGTCGTGTTTGTCACCCAATGCAGAGTTTGCAAACAGAAGCAAAATTTTGCCAAATGCTTCCAATGATGGATCAAACTATTTACAAGCAAAAGTGTTCAAGAAATGAGGTACCACTGTACCAAACATTTTTCAAGAAACCTGATGTGTTATCAGTTACCAACAAGCAGCATTTGGCTTGAAATTCTTTGCGACTTTGGTCCTTTAGTAAGAGTGCTAACAAGCAACAGAATAATAACTTTCAATGCAAATGAATGAATCAGTGTACTTCCATGAATCTAATTCATTAAAATCAGAAAAAGGTCCATGAAATCCATTACCTGTCGATGTATAGAATCTTTATTTGCAATTTCATTTTCAAGTTTATCATTGAGGTCATGCACAGATGTGGCTTCACGCTGTGCAGCGAGGTAGCGTTTTTCAAGGGTAGTGATTCTCTCCTCCATGTCTTCTTTCTGGGCCATTGCCTAAATTAGGTATTTCAAAGGGGAAAAAAGGGGTAATTAATGCATGATGCATTAATATACCTCAGTGAGAAAAAACTGGACAAAATCCTAAATTCAAATCAAATACAAAATCAAAACTAAACTGATAAATGTCAATCTTCTCAAACGTGGATGAAAATGTATTTATAGAAAATATAAATATTTAATATGATTAGCACAGACTCATCTGACTAAATGTTATGCCTTACCACTCACTTTACCAAGCTTATCCTTTTATAGATATTACAAACTATGCACAATAAAATATTCCAAAACTGTAAGAATTCAAGAGGGTGACGGTATCTAAGATGAAGACAGCCTAGCTACAAATGGGCATACACAGAACAGGGCAAGGCTTTTCAATGGACGTAACAGCAAGACACAAAACTCATTTTCTCACGTAAGTCAAAGTTTAATTTAATTGAATGCAACCACCCGAAGTCCATACTCAAATTCATACTACATACTATCAAAAACAACTTTTTGCATGTGCAATACCTGTCTTCTACCCCTAAATTCAGTTTTGGAGTCTTTCCTTATTTACTTACTTACTTATATATTTTGGTACCAAGGATGGAACTCGGGTCCTCATGCTTGCAAGACAGGCAATGGAACCACTGAGCTACACATAATCCCAGGCCCACTAAGTAATTATTTTTTAACAATTACTTACTATTAAAAAATGAAGATCTTTAAAGAAAAATTTCATAATTCTCTGCTACATGAATATTTTCCTGCTATGGTCCAAAATAATATAATTTAGTAGGTTACATAATATATGCAAATGTTTTCCTTTTTTCTAAATTCTTATATAAAAGTAACCATTAAGCTACCAAACACAAGTAACCTTTTTCTACACACCTGCAAACCAACTCCAGGCCAGGGATTTAGCTCAGTGGTTCCATTGCCTGCCTCACAAGTTCAAGGTTTCAAGTTCAATCCCCAGAACCAAATCAAAACAAAACAAAAAACAACCCAGGGCTTCAAGGATCTGTAAAGGGCAGATGACAGGAGGAAGTATCAGAGAAATATCTAACCTTTATTTGATTTTATAACAGTGATTAGTTTCTCAGAAAATTACACAGGCAGGTCCAAGGATTTAGTTCAGTGGCACTGCGCCTGCCTCGCAAACACAAGGTTCTGAGTTCAATCCCTGGTACCAAAAAAATTACACAGGCAGTAATGTTTCTCAGAAATGTGTATCTGGACATATTTTGTTTTTATTTTTTGGGGGGGTACCAGTGATCAAACTTGGGACCTTGCTCTGGAGAGGCAGGCAGTGGAAGCAATGAGCTAAATCTCCGGCCCTTACTGATCTAAATGTGAACAGCATGAACACTTTCATAGTTGACCTAATCTCCAAAATTCAGCACTACATTACTGTGCAGGAGAAAAACATAAAAAAATTAGAAGACGGGGCAGAGGATTTAGCTTAGTTGCTCTACAACCTGCCTTGCAAACAGAAGGACCCAAGGATCATCCCCAGTACCAAAACAAAAAACAAACAAACAAAAACCATTAGAAGACAGTTGTTAACACTGTCTTTCCCACAGTCCCAGGGAACACTCACATTTATTTTTGTTTTGTATTGTTTTTGGTACCGGGGATCAAACTCAAGTCCTTGTGCTTGCAAGGTAGGCACCAGAACCACGGAGCTAAATCCCTGGCCCCACTCACATCTATTTAAGAGAGCTCAACCAATACCAACATACACTAGTTTAGGGAGAGCATGTACTTGTTTAAGAAGGAAGCTGACCATAAGAAAGCATATTATAGGGCCAGGGATTCAGCTCAGTGGTTCCATCACCTGCCTCGCAAGCACAAGGACCAGAGTTCGATCCCCATACCCACCCCCATAAAGCACATTATGATAGCCTAGAACCTGTAGAGGTGAAGAATCTACAAGGGTGGAGAATGAACTTACGTAGAACAAGTGGGGAAAGCTGGGCAAGTCTGTGGGACAAGTTCTCTACCTTTTTAAAAGACTGCAGGAAAGGAGAAATTCCCACAGCCACAAGGAGGCAGTATGTCACAGTCTGATAGCATTTGTTTTATTAATCATGTAGTAATCCAAAGGCTGAAAGTAACAGAGGAAAGGACTAAAATAGCAGGGGAAAAAAAAAATCAATTATCCCAAACATTCCAAATACATGACATTATGACAACCCTGCAATTTCTATTATCACTTACTTCTCGAACTTCTCTTTGCAATTTTGTGTTCATTTCTTCAGACTTGATGAGATCCTTTCTAGCTGTGTCAAGATCCTCTTCCAACTCCGACACGTGGCTAGAGAGGGCAGCCAGACGTTCCTTCATCTGGCTCTGCTCTCTTGACTGCTTGTCTATGACTTCTTGGAGCTCAATTACTTTAGCAAGGTCTTCCTCGTGGCTTAAAGAGCCATCAGAAGATCTCTGATGGGTAAAATATATATATATACCCTTAAATTACACTGCTCGGTGTACCACAGAATAAAATAATTTCAGGAATGGGACCATCAAAATGGATTTATGCAATCTGTTTAGATGACAGAGCTCTCACAATCACTTCAGCTATAAGCAAGCATTTTGGCAACAGCTTCCAAACAGTACCACATACGCATCATGAGCATATGAAATCAGAAACAGAACAAAGACAAAGCCGAAAGATTTACCTTTCCATTAGTGCTTGGTGTATTTTCTTGTTCATGGTTTAAGTCAAGTGCTCCATCTGTTAGTGTTTTTTTCTGATTATTCTGCTCTTTAAGAATCATTAGCTAAAACCAAAAGTTGAAAATGAAAATAAAATACCTTATGTGAGAGAAATGAGTAAACATAGCAAAAATCCTTTTGGGAAAACACAATTACACTGTTAAACACAGTATAAAAAGAATCACACTGAATATAAATCAGACTACTAGAAACAATTTATTAGCTACTTGACAAAAGAGTATTTAAGAGATTCTGTAATGCTGAAATAAAAGTATAGTCCCAATTCAAATGACCCCATCAGGTTCATCTTCAATTAGAAAGAAACAGAATCTGACAACTATTACAGAGCTCTTTTTTTTAATTACAGACCTTTTAAAAAATTAAAATAAAAATTAAAAACCTAGTTCCAGTGCTATAATGATGCCCCAAGATTACCTCCTTGTGTGTGGCACCTAATTCTTCTTCTAACAAACTGCACCTTTCCAGTGCTACTCGTAATCGCTCTCGCACCTGAAAACAGAGTTGAATTTTTGTGTTTACAGATTCTTGTTGTATAGTTTTCTTAATATTACCAAAATATATAAAGTACTTTCAGTGTCTTTTGTTGATATTATTTTCAAGAAAAAGTCCTTGTTAATGGCTTTAAATTTTAAGGTTGGGTATCTCTTGTTTCTGAGTGATTCTTTTTGTTGCTGTTTTGTTTTGTTTTTTTTGGTACTGGAGATCAAACTCTGGACGACCTTGTGCTTGTGAGGCAGGCGGCAGCACCACTGAGCTAAATCCCTGGCCCTAATCAGTAGGAACTCAATATACAGAATTAATCATTTTTAAGACACACATACCAGTCTAGTACTTGCTAATTATACAGAACACTGCCTTTTAATGGAGAAAATCTGTTTACAACAATTCAAAAAGCTATAAAAGTTAAAGCTTAACAAACACATGCAAAGCCTACCATAAATACAGTTTGTGCACAAACCCAGCATCATCTGTGTGCCTGATGTACCTTTTCATCCAGAGCCTTGTGGTGTTCAAACAAGGACTTCAGTGCTTTAAGCACCTCCACCTCACTGGATACGCCTGCAGGAGACTGTGCTTGCCGCTTCACCACAGTCATCCTGAGGGAGCGCTCATGCCTGGAGACAAGGCATTCCAAATGTTCCAGGAGCAGCTGAAACAAGGTCAAAGGGGGACATGGTAAAGGGCACTTTTTATTTCATATTCAAACCCTTTATAATCTACACCAAAACAAGTTCAAATTCCTTCAATTCAGTAGTCAGATAAGTTCCCTTCAACTGAATTAGAATGTCACTAATTCCCATCACAAATTTCTTTTTTTAATGACAGAGTCTCGCTTTAGTCTAGGCTGGTCTGGGACTCACTATCTAGCCCAGGTCATCCTCTAACTCAAGATATTCCTGGCACAGAGTCCTGACTGTTGGGATTGTAGGCATGTGCCACTGCCATGCCTAGCCTCCAATCACAAATTTTGAGCAATGTTTATTGCTGAAGTGATTCAATATACTCTACTTAAAGAGTTTAAAAGCAATCAGAGTGAATGTCGTCTCATTCTCAGACAGCAGGATCCATCCTGATGTTGCCTCAAGAGCCAGACAGTAACCAGAGAGCCCCCCGCACTGACCCTTGTGTTGTTCCTTTCTGCTTTCAGTTCAGCAATTTCTTCTTCCCTCTCAAGCAGCTGTTCCCTGCATACGTTGAGTTCTTTAGTGAGTGCTGCAAACTCCTACAAAGTAGCAAAGTAAAGGAATAAATGAACACATGCACAAATAAAAGAAATTCTCTTAGGCAAGACTTCCATTGGCCACAAAGTCAACATACACAGACACAGCCATATTCCCGTCACGTAATATATGGGAAAGGACTGCCACGCTCCTCCACAGAAATGGGGATCACCAGCTGGCCTGAAACCACGAAAGTATTCCCTAGGGGATGAGATCTAACCCAGACCATTTGACTTCCCTCTACCTTGGGCACTGGTGAAAGCACAGCAGGAGATGATGGAGTACAATCCCACCTCCTTAGGATCCAGAAGACAAAAATATTTTCCTGAACTAGGATCCCAAGATGAAACACCTAAAGACATTTTTAGGTGATTAGAGACCTAGAATCCTTGGGGAGACAAAGGAAAAGAGGCCTAGAAAATCACCACCTGGTTCTAGTAACCCCTCTATGCTGATTCTCCCCTGGAAAGAAGTCTGATGTCAGCCCAGGGCCAGTCTCCTAGCCTGAAGTCAGTCTCCTAGCCTGAAGAATTTGGTCAGAATCAACTAAGAAAAAATTAGGCTTTTTGCAAGCATTAGTAAGCCTTTTGCAAAGAGGGAATCTAAGAAAACTATTTGTGCAGTCATGTGTGAGGGCTTCCAGAAGGCTGAGAGGAGCTGTAGGAGTCCTGCAGTACTCACTGTACTGGGCTGAACCTTGTGCTATGATACTGCTTCACAGACACCACAAATGAGCTGAGTTGAAAGACATGAATTTGGAGCAAAGCAACTTTGAAATAAGTAAAATCAACTGCCAATGTCTCTCTGCCTTAAGTGTTTTTCCTTTAAAAGACAAAGTTGGACAAAGATTCACCTGATAAATACTCAGACCTTCAAAATAACATGTGCTTGAGTGAGGCAATTCTAGAAAGCTGGTTTAAAACAGGTAATGTTCTTTAAACGACATCTATAACAATCTTTTGCAGCTCAAAGTCAATCTCACCACAGGAAGTACAGGCCCATGGAAGTATTCTATTACAGGCTGGCCTTCATATGCCTATGTGAGCCATAGTGAGAATGGATACACTAATGTATGAGAGATGAATAAAGGCAGCACAGCCACAGAAAGCAGTGGAAAAGAACAAAATTTCTCTTCTAAACTAGTATTCTGCAAGAATCATGACAGTGGGTGATCTAGCTCTAGCCTGGCAACTGGAGGAGATCTGTATCCTGCTCTCTAGGGAAACTGGAGGAAATGATAAAAACCACTCTTCAAAGCTCCTGGAAATGGCTCAAAGGGTAACAGCCAAAGAAGAAACATCTACACAAGAACTATCAGTAAGAAAGCCAGGAGTCCATGGTATTTGAACTGGGACTGCTTTCTACCTCCCGCTCCTAGATCAGCACAGGAGACTTCACTGCAGACTGTTGCAGCCAAAAACACAGGGCCCCTCACCAGGCCAAAACCATGGTGGCTCCCCAGGCCAACACTGCAGGGTCCCCTCTTCCAGGCTAGTAACACAGGGTTCCTTCCCAGGCCAACAATACATGGTCCCCTCCCCAGGCAAACAACATATAAAAGTCTTCCTAGGTCAACAGAAGGTTCTTCTCTCCCCAAGGCTAACAACATATAGTCCTCACACCCAGACCAACACTGCAGGGTCCTCCCTCCCCTAGGCCAACAAGGCAGGGTCCTTTCCCCAGGCCAACAACACAGGGTCGCCTCCCCAAACCCACAATATAAGATCCTCTCCTTCGAGTCACAATGGATTTATACGTCCTTTTTGGTCAGAATCACAATTCATTCAAAGGAAGTTTCATGTGTGCTCTATGACAGCCACTAGGCTACTTAAGAGGCAGAGCCCATCCACTTCTCAGGAAGATGGACAAACCTGACAGAACCCTCATATGATAGATGCTTTGCATGAGATACACCCAGGCTTCCAGGCCATCCATGATAGGACTGGGCATGCTTTACAAGTTTGCTGAAGGAGATGACAACTGAGTTGATTTTGAACAAGCTACTCTTTCACAAAAGCATGAATAGCATCTGGAAAGTGAGAAGGGCTAGGGCCTGGGCAGTAGGGGTGTGGGAATAAGATGAAAAGCATGACTGTGAAAACCTTGTCTGGTTCAGAGTCTGGACTCATCCTGAAGGCTGGAGGGGTTCTCTAATCCACAGCCTGGACAGGGAGTGGAAAAATGATTGGTCTCAGGCAGTGCTCAGCATGAGGAGCAGTGCTGAAGCTGGGCTACACACAGAGAGGAAGATGAGAAACCAGTCAGTGGTGCCACAGAAGCTCCAGGGAGAAGGAAGCTCTGAGTTAAGATCAATCCTAGGAGACAAAGAGATTCAAAAAGAACTTTTAAGACTAAGCAGAAGAATGTGAGACAAGCATCAGGTGCTCCAAGCTGCACTCTTCACTACTTTAACAAGATCTCCAGATATTGTTTTCAAAACAGCCTGTCAGAGATCGAGGCTAGGAGTTGGGGGGAACAGACCTACCCAAGGCTACAGGTATGAGAAACAGGGCTTCTGGATCTATTTGAAAGCATAGCCACATTAAATAGATCTTACAGCAGTGGTGGTGAACCTATAGCACATGTGTTGCAGCCAGCTGTTTCTTATCACTGAAATCTCTAAAAGGTTTGCCATCACTGCCTTAGAGGAAAACAGATCCGATCCTGACTCCGAGAATTAACGAGAGGCCAGGAATTTAGCTCAGTGGTTCCGCACCTGCACCGCAAGTGCAAGGTCCTAAGTTTGATCCTTGGTACAAGAAAGACAGAGATAGACAGACAGGAAGAAAGGAAGGAGAGAGAGAAAGACAGAAGGGGGAGAAGAAAAAAGAATTATGAGATGGGAGTTTCCAGAGGAAGAGTACATTTTGAGGGGAAGATCTAAATATTTAATTTGTACATGCTGAATTTGAGATGATTGTTACATAGCCATAGGGCAACGTCAAGTGGAGAGCCATAATTCTCACTGTGGTTTGTTTTTTTTTTTGTTGTTTTATTTTGTTTTTGAGACAGGGTCTCCCTTTGTAGTTCAGGCTAGCCCTAAACTCACTATGTAGCCCAGGCTCATGCCTCGAACCCATGGCAATCCTCCTGCCTCAGACCCCCAAAATGCTGGGATTATAGGCCTGCACCACCACACCTGGCTCTTACTTCAGTTCTTGGCAGTATCGGGGATTAATTTCCTTTCATGCAATTTAGGGTAGGCAAGAAGAGATGAGTGTCAAATCCTGAAAAGTCAACACTGCCGAGCATCAACAGGGAGCCTGGGATGGGTCTGCCAAGATGGGAGGAAAAGTGAGAACTTTGAAGCTTCACGTTCTCAGGAGGAGGGCCAACCACATGTATGCACTGACACTGGCAGATTAAGTCAGCTAATGCATCACTGACAGCAGAATATGCTGAAATGAAGATCAGGTCTCACTTTATCTTGGTCTTAAACATCCAGCAAAAAGGAATAACCAAAAGAGGTATAAAATAATCCCATGGCAATAAAGCTTATGAAAAGGGGCTCTAGTCACTATCCTTTCTGGCAGTTTCCAGCTCTACCAGTAGCTGACCATGGTTATGGATCATTAGGAAAAAACTATGGTGAAATCTGTAAGAGCTCAGCCAGAGTTTTATATTTCTTAGTGAAATTTGTTCTTCAAATTGTCACTTACAGGTAAAACTATAGAGACTTATGACAAAGTATCAGACTTATAGATAACCTCTATCAATGAAAGAATGTAAGTCCAGCAGGTTCAATCACTATTTGAGTTTCTAAGTGTGACTTTCTCCCCAACCTGCCTTTTCATTTTAGTGTACTCGTGCTTAGATTACGCAAACTATAATTTCTTAAAAGTTTTGTTTATTCTTGCCTAGAGGCTGCCAAACTCCAAGCAGTCATACAAATGGAACCAATGACAAATGTCATTTTTTTAACCTGGATCCACCAGATTAACCTTGTAAATAGCTCATAAATTCTAAACTATACAATATGACTTCTATGTTGGATTCTGAAGTCCCCTGGACCTTCTCCTTAACCTCTTTGTGGGCTATATTCATAGCAATCCTGCTGACCTTATAATTTGGCCCATGCATTCTTAACTGTTCCTTTGGCTTTGTCTCCAAGATGACAATGCCTAGCGCCTATCAAAGGCCTTTAGATAAACCCTCTGTAGAGTCACTATAACTGCTGATCACAACTACAACCCTCTTTAGCTGGAAGTAGCCAGAGCTGTCTTCGCCCTTTGTCCTCTCACAGCAGTTAGGGGTATTTCTTCAAAGGGGGAAATATTGCAGATAGGTAAGTTAATTAGATATCTTGTGGACAGTTAAGACAGGGCCAGCCCAGAAGGAGCCAACATGGAAGATAATCAAGATACATTCACTAAAGGCCAGAATTGTAAAAGGAGAGAAACTACTATAACCCTTGAGCTTCCCTAGGGGATAAATAGCAGTGATTGATAATTCTAAACAGGTATCCATCACTTGGATGAGGGGCCAAAGTCTTAGCCCATCCTTTCCAGGAAATATCGACCCCCACCCTTACTGAAAATGCTTTTACTCTTGCTACATGACTTGCTCCCCCATTTGACCCCCACTTTATCAATATTACCTGGGTGACTGTAGTGGTAATCTTATTGGTTGGTCATGGTTTTGCCCCACCTAGTAATTTTCCATTGGGTCTTATAGTTTCGTCCTACTTTGTACTCGCCTTACCACATGGCTCTGCTGTATAAAACATGTTTGAAAAGTGGGGTGGGCACTCAGGAGGCTGAGGCAGGAGGATCACTGTGAGTTCGAGAGTTTGTTGGGTAGAATATTATTTAGCCATCAGAAAGAAACTCTGACACTCATTACAACATGGATAAGATGTGAGGGGATTATGCTAAGTGAAGTAAGCCAGTCATGAAGATTTACTGAATGAGGTCCCTAGAGGAGTCAGATCTATAGAGACAAAGAGCATGAGGTATAGATCTATAGAGGCAAAAGGCAGAATGGTGTGTGTCAGGGAATGGGGACCAGGAGGGGAGTCAATATTTTACAGGGGCAGAATTTCAATGAGAGGAGATGAAGAGTCCTGGGGGTGGATAATTGTGACAGACGCATGATACTGCAAATGTGCTCAATGTCCCTGAACTGTGAACCTAAAAATGGTTAAGATGGGGGATTTTTGTTGTTTTACTACAATTAAAAGAAAAAAACAGGAGAAAAAAACTTCATTGAAGGTAAAAAGTCCATGTATTCTTACTCTAGGAATATACAGGGTGACAAAATGGAAAGTGGGTCTAATTTTAGCAAATGGAAATGACCACCTGAAAAGCTGACTCACAGACTGACATTCTTTTCAGTCAGGAAAAGCTACTAGTCTCAGTCATGTTTAAAAACATGTCAAAACCCAAACTAAAGGAAAATTGAAAGTTTATTAGAATGAGTGAGCAAATCATAGACTGAAATCCCCATGTCTTGATTAAAAGCACACTAATAATGACATACATTCATTCATTTTCACACACCCCCCATGGAGAGATGGAATGGGGACACTGGGACAGATAACAACAAACTCTTTACCTCTGTAAAATCTGACACATGACTATCAGCAGCTAACTCAACTCTGGACTTATTCAAAGCCACCGTGACTGAAATAACCCTGGATTTTAAAAAATTGATGGGCATTAGTTGTAAGCAGCAGATTAAAACAACAATCATTCCAAAAATTCCAATACATGTTATTTTCTTGTGTTTCACTTTAAAAAACATACACACTGGCAAAGATTATACCCACACTTCCCATCCAGTGATTATGAGGTAACACTAAGTTCAAACACTGAGGCAGAACAATATTTCAATATGACTCCATCTGAATTTAAAGCAAATGTACACTTGTATATATTTTTCCTAGGCAGACAGATAAAATATGGAAAGATACACACCAAACTGCTGCTGCTGTTAGCCAATGTAGCTGTGGAATAAGACCCCCTTTCCTATTTCTCCACTTATAAAACATGGGTGCCCCTGTGGTGCTCCTTCAGGATGCTGCTCAGCCCAGGCACCCTGACCTGTGTCAGGTCAGCTGCTCACCTGCTCACTCTGGGCCCTCCACCTACTCACTACACATGTCTACTCAGACGTATGTGTGGGCTCATAAAACTCTCTCTGCACTTCCTCTTGCTCCAGTCTGTAACTCCTCCTAGCACTGATATAGAGTCCTCTCAACCCTACAAGGTGGCACAATGGGTGCCCTGCTGCACAAAATAGCCCCATCACAGTGATAGCTCCAGACATCAACTCTGCATGAGTGACCCTGCCTCTCTCATTTCCTTGTGCCTCACACCAGCAAGTATAACGCAGGAAAACCCTGTGTCCTCAGCACAGTTCTTGTTCCTCTGCTGGACTTCATTGCCTGGCAGGTCCTACTGCCTTGGGTTTATGAACTGCCATCACCCCTGACCAGCAGCTCCACCTTCACCTCAGTGTCAATGCTCTTTCCTACAGAGGAGGGCTTTTTCAACTTCCCCTGCTAGATAGATACTCTCACACCCTCCCCACAAGCATTTGGCCTTTTTAGTCAGAGCAGTGAGCTGTCTTCCCCACAAGCCCAGTCATGTCCAAGGCAGAAACCTAGTCCGCTGTACCCAACCAGTGTGTGCCATCTAAGTGACAGACATGACATCAAGGAATACCTACTCTCAAAGCAGAACAATGCCCAGTAGGAAAGACAATACCAGTCAACCACAGGCTTTGCAGGTGGTAGGGCATGGCCAATGTCTGATGCTATTGGGACTGGATGTAGAAAAGCTACCAATAGAGTGGATTCAGTCAGATTCCTGGGCCTCACCCTTCTGACTCAACACTTGGAAGGGGGGAATCATGGGGGCTGGCAATAGTCTATGCTTTCTAAAATCTCTCCTGAGTAATTTACTAGCCTTCTATTTTTGGAAGCAACTTACCTTTCACTAGGATCCCAGAAACATCACCCAAGTTCTTCCTTCTGACTTACTCATCTACAAAAAAAGGACTTCATTCTACCCAGAGCCTAAAGCTGGGACAATCTAACAAGAAAGCTGTAAAGCATGCCATTCAACTAAAGGCTGCAGTCCTCCAGCTCAACAGAGTCCCAAAGACCTTTCGCGATCCACACAGTCCTCTGTTTCTTCAAAGAATCTGCCTGACAGACAGACAGGAGATGCACTGGTTGATTTTTGCCACATTGCTAAGAGGAAATCACTTCAGTATCTTCAAATATTAATTTCATTTGTCACGACAATATTTTCTCCAAACAAAAGTGCTTTCATAAATAATTTGTGCACTCCTCACTGTCAGTTTAGGGACTATTTTCTGGCTTTCCAGCCTCTGCTTACCTGGATTTATCTGGGCTAACAAAATTCTCCCAAGAATGGTCAGTATTCTCAGAGGTCCTGGTCTCCTCACAGTTGACAAATTATTCTCAAGGACACACAAACTCAGCACCCCTAAGAAACTGTGCATCTTGGCTTCTGTTCTCTCCTAACACTGAGACTTCTGCTTGAGGTCAGTTACCCACATTTGGCCCCCAGGCCTGGGCTATCTTTGCTGCATGCCAGGTAGCCCACCAATAGCAATGGTAGCTTGAATTTACTCCATCAAAATCTAAATGTGATTTTCATTTGGAGCAGAAAAAGAAGAAAAGCCTCAGTGTTTTAAAATATATGGCTTAAGAGGTTAAAAATTCACTGTGCCTCTCTTCTAACTTGTGGCTTAGCAACTAAGGAGGATGTATATTGTGTTTCAAACTTCAAATTAGCCTTGCATTAGGCCAAACCTGAAAAGCTTTAGGCAGGATGTGGACTATCTGCCAGCTAAAGTGGTACTGCCAGGGAGCAACAATGCAAGGACAATCTAAACTCCACTACACCTGTCAGCTCTGACACCCTATCATTCTTGACAACTGAATTCTTTTTTTAACTCTTGAGGGAGGTGCATTACTGCCCAGTAATTGAAATACTGATGTGACTCTTTTATACTTATATTTAAATTCATAAAATATAACATTGCTTCTATTATTTAAAATTTTTATCAAGTCATATAACATAAAAATTCACCATCAACCATTTCAAAGGGAATACCCCAGCGGCTGTCAGTATATCCACCATGTATTGCCATTGCCACTACCTAATTCCAAACATTTTCATTAACCCCAAACCACCTGCTGGCAATCATCCCAATCCTTCTGGAAAACTACGACTGTGCAGATCTACCTGTTCTGGACCTTGCACAGAAATGGAGTTATACAACGTATGATCTCTTGTGCCTAGCTTCTTCTACACAGCAAAATGTTCTCAAGGGTCATTCATGTTGTAGCATGATATAGCTTCATTCCTTTTTACTCTGTTTTTCCTCTCTAGAAATCATTTTGTTTTAGGCACAACTGAGATTTCTGCACAGGAGCTAAGTTTTGCTTCACATATTATCTTTCTGCTGAAGAGCAAACAAAACTGTTTTTAGTTGTTAGCATTTCCGTACTTAAAACACGAATAATTAAGCTTTGCCCAGTGGCAGTATCGTGGCCAATGAGGTTTATCCGAGGTGTGATTATTGCTAATTGAAACACAAATAATTCCTCAGAATAAGTCAGACTGTGCGTGCCTGTTTCAAAATGACCTGAAATATTAGTGTAAATGTACATTTTGTATATATCAGAATTTAAGTGTAAAAATCTTTGTTTGTTTGTTTTTTGAGACAGAGCCTTACTATGTAGTTCAGGCTGGCCTTGAACTATGTAGCTCAGGTTGGCCTCGAATTTGCAGTGATCCTCCCATTTCAGTCTCCCAAGTGCTGAGATCACAGGCATGCGCCACCACACTCTGCTTTAAGTGTAAAATTGCAGTGAAAATCCATAGGAAAAATATTTTACTTAACATTTTTAAACAGCCCCAAGGAAAAGGGAGAATCAAACCAATAAAATTTAAAAACAAGGACAGGGGTCAGGTATTTAGCTCAGTGGTGCACTGCACCTGTCTTGCAAGGGTGAGTTCAATACTGGAACAGCCCCGCTGAGGGGGTGGGGTGTCTGTGAAGCAGTATCATAGCACAAGGTTCAGCCCAGTACAGTGAGTACTGCAGGACTCCTACAGCTCCTCTCAGCCTTCTGGAAGCCCTCACACATGACTGCACAAATAGTTTTCTTAGATTCCCTCTTTGCAAAAGGCTTACTAATGCTTGCAAAAAGCCTAATTTTTTCTTAGTTGATTCTGACCAAATTCTTCAGGCTAGGAGACTGACTTCAGGCTAGGAGACTGGCCCTGGGCTGACATCAGACTTCTTTCCAGGGGAGAATCAGCATAGAGGGGTTACTAGGACTAGGTGGTGGAGGTGTTGTGGGGCAACGGGACAAGAACAGAAATACCTGAGTCATCAATTGAAATGAGCGCTTTCTGCTATCTTCTAAGCCCATTTTACATGGTGATGTAATATTATTCTTTAAAAAGATTTTAAAAAAAGAATATTAGCTTACAGGAGTCTCAAATAAATTAGAAACACTATAAAATAAGATAAAACACAATATAAGGTACATTAACATCAAGTTTATAATTATTTTTCAAATATCCCAATAAAAATGTGGAAAAAAAAATCACCTTATGATTCATGGCATTTTTCATGTTTACAAAAGTATATGTTTTCAAATATTTAATTCCATAGATCTACGGATGTGCCAAGAAATTACTGAATCATAAAGAAGCTATCTTTAAAGTATGAAACCAGAAATCGCCTGTTTGAACTTGACAGTGTGAAACTATCATTGAGAATACAGCATAATCCAGAGTTCTACAGGTATGTTTGGCCCTAACAAGCTTCTAAAAAATACTAATAGAAACAACAAGAGAAAAACGCTTAGGGGGCTGGAGATTTAGCTTAGTAGCACTGTGCCTGTCTGGCAAGCACAAGGCCCTGAGTTTGATTCCCCATACAAAAAAAAAAAAAAAAAGCAAAAGCTTAGGACATACCTTTTAAACAACAACAAAAATCTTGAAAATGTAATTTTATATAAAATATTTAATCTTTCCAATTGGTAAGAAAGGCATTATGGATATTACTCTAGAATGTTCTCTTTCCAGATGATGATTAAGATGCTAATAAAAAAAAAATGGTGCCAGGTACCACAACAGCAACAGAACTTTGCTGTTTTCTGGATATTATTTTTTTCTTTGTTTTTTGTTTTGTTTTGTTTTAATGGAATGTGCTGAATGTCTGTAATTTTGTTCAGATGACTGCAGAACCTGGAAAAGCTGTTGCTGCTATATC